GTACCCTAAGGCGATCTAACTATCTACATCTTGTGAGTTCTGCTTATATTTGCGCAGTTTTAACGTTCATTTACAGTATTATACTATTGTGTTGTGTTTGTTTCTGTAGACCATCAGCCATACTCCTCTGCTATTATATATTCATCAAAATACTGCATGTTTATTTCTTGTTGAACAAAGACCAGTTCATCTTAATGACGTAATCTGGATGCAGTGGCCCTGTCCTTTTATTTTATTTTTTATAAATATCAGATGAGTATCATCTCACATTTTGTCTTGGGGCCATACCAATCTCTGGCTTATCATCAATACCTCGATCATCATTAATTTATTTATTTTCTTTTTATTAATGCTTTATTTTACCTTTCTTAAATAACAATATATCTATAAAACATGTACAAAAACACACACTATATGAGAAGTTCTTGTCCTTTTAACCGGTTTTTGTCTTCGTAACTGAAATGCTTACATTGCCAGATTAATTCCGCTTCCAGTAGGTATCTTCCAGACAGCCGCTAGAGGTGCATCCACTGCACTAAGTAAAATGTGCATGAGGAGCCCTGGAATGGACCATTGCCAGAGGATGCCATGACTCCTTCATGATATTAAAGAGTTGATGACTTAAAAGTTGGACTTTAACAATAGCTGGAGAATGGCACTGGCAGATCATGATAAGCATCAGATTTTATATCGGGGTGTCTATATTTGTCAGCAGCAACATGCATTAGTCAAGTGTGTGAACTTCTTTACAGAACCTTTAAAAAAAATAATTTATAAAAAAGTACGAGTAGAATTGTTTTAGATTGCACTCAATGTCAGTATATTTGCCAGCGGATTAATAGCCTGTCACTTTAATTTTTAATTTATTTATTTTTTGTCTCTCTTTTGAAAAATCATTTATCCATTATACTGCATTTGGATTTTCCCAATAAAAGAGAACATTATTAAAAGGAAAGAATTGTAATTTCAATTTGTGAGAGAGTGATTAATATTACAGAGTAGTAATTTGTGAGCATATGTGATTGCCTTAATGGTGTAGTAACCTGGAAAATATATTAAACACACACAAGCATGATTTTGAATGATAAGGTTTTAGCGAAAGAAAAATAATTTCTGCCTGACCGATGACATTTTAAAGGGGTGCAGGGAACGGTAGGTGCATAGATCAGCCCTTTTCATACCAAATTCAAACATTTTCATAAGCCTAGTTTGTCACAGTAAGAGTAACCCAAACACATAGTGTATGAAACTCCAAAAATAACACAGGAGAGAACATGTTACCCATTCTTAGAGGGCGGGCTTCATGAAAAACAGTAATAGTATGACTAGCCAATGTCAAGGGATGCCACAAAGCAGGGCAACAAGAAAACAAATCTTGGTCTTAATGGACAGAAGGATAACCAGGTCAGAATCAGAGTAAAGTGCACTATAAATGCACTAAAAAGGACCAAGAAACCTCAATAGGGTTTTTTTTTGTAATTTATTTTTTTATTTGGCATTGCCATGCCGCAAAAATGTAAGAGGGCATGGAGAATGACGCAAATGCGCATTTGCCCCGTCATAAGAGGAAGAAGGGTAGAGTTTGGCGTCCAAAACGCTGGAAGAGGAGATGGAGAGAAAGAGGGTTTTGTGGAACCGAATCGGCGCCCTGCGTTTTTGGCTACAGGTAGAGGTAGCAAAGTCGACGGTCTTCTGACAGTTTTTAAGACATTCAGCCCTCCCTAAACCCTACACGTCTTCATTTTCATATGAAAAAATAAACGTTCATGGATATTTTTTCCAAATGATCGAGCTTCTTTGAAATCCTAGGACTTTTGATCTCAAAGCAACAAATCTCAACAGATAAATCTTTAATGTCATGTTGGAATCATATACCTCATGTTTTTAATTAGGATGAACTTGTACTATTCATTAGCGTGGGTTAATAGCAGACCCAATTAACATAATAGTGCAACAGAATAAAATATACTGCTTACTCAGGTTAATTAGTAGTCACAACATTTTACAGGTCATATGCTAGAAAAACGTGACTTGGATTATAGGATAAGACAAGAAATTCATTTTCACAAGAAAATGCAATAATATCACAAAATGAAAAGAGTATCCAGTTCTAAAGAGTTTACCATTTATTCGATATATATTTATTATTAGGACACTTCCCTAAAAAGAGAGTTTTCTTGTTGTCTATTTAAAAAAGGGGATTTATTTGCCTTGTCACCGTTGGAAAACTGAAATGTATAACGGAGTGCAATTTTCTGTACCTTTATATAAGTTACACGCCTACCTGATAGAGTACTTACGTTTTATTACAATGCAAATAATAGCAATGTAGCATTTATTATATGAAAGGTATAAAGAAATGTGTAAAGCAAAAATGTTTCACATTCCTGATCTGTTTCACACAATTATTAGTGATATTTAAGAGTCATCAAAGTTGATGTCATATGATGCTGTTCTCAGTCTGTCAGTCTAAAAACAACAGGAAAATAAGTGATACAAGTGAATGACATACGAAGTATTTTAAGGATACAAAGCCGGACTAGTGAGTGTAGGCTTGAAAAAGACCAGACTGATGGTCAACAAAGTTGCCATGAATGTGAAAAACGTGAGTGCTTTTTTTTCATCTTCTTGGAATGTGTTACTAGTTATAAGTAGAATAAACAGAATAATAACAATTTAGCCAAATTTTTCCCTAACTAAGAATGGATGCTCTTTTTTTTTCCCCCTAATTTTCCACCAGCTCCATATCTTATTCAGTCCTGTAAGAGAGAAACAACTTTGGCCCATCAGGATTCCTGCTTGGTTCATTAAAAATGGTATTGTACCACATTTTGTATGTTTTCCCAGACTGGATGTACATAGAATGAGGTTCATTTTCACAAGTTTGAATATATTTATTCAGTTGACCGAACTTCTTGTTCAAAGTAGGAATGCTCAGTAAGTAGCTCTAAAGACGTATCACTAGTCCATTAAATCAAAATCTAACATTCAATTATGATGAGTGGGATTCTCAATTAATTTTGTAAATGAAAATGCATTACATTTGAAAATGTTCTTTGATAAAGGTTGTTGTTTAAATGTGTTGCATTTGTATTAATAAATGGGAGGTCGATGATCCCATGATATTCTAAATGAGAAGAAATTGCCAGAAAAGAATAGGTGAGATTCTCCGAGAGGTAAAATTATGATTTTTATTTTGTGCAATCATACAAAGATTTTTTCTTATTGTGAATACCGAAATTTGCTTGTGAGACAATGTACAATTGGATGGGGTTTATCTGTTGTTTTAATGTCATATTGTTTGCAATATATATTTCATATGAATAAAATTTACACACACTTAGTATGTTCCCTTAAATATAACAATCTCTCCAAAAATATAACACAATTTTAAATTAATATTTCATATTCATAACATGGTTATTATCACATCCTTATTGAATTTAAAAAGAATGATGTGTTGGTATCCTCTGCCACATTTGTTACCAAATTATCTGGAAATGGATATGCTTGTATAGCAACATTTAAAACAAGTTTAAATGTAAGCTGTTGCTAAACTTGCACGTTAATGTGCTTCAGCTAGTTTGAACGAATCTGCCTTATTTTACTCTATTCCCGAATAAATTGATTCGTTCGGGATTTAACTGGGGAGCCTTCATTTATGAGGGAATGGAGTAAAATTAATTTGATTTGATCAAACCACCTACAACACATTAATGCACAAGTCTACTTGTTACAGAGCAACTTTTTGCTCAACATTATCAATATTAGGAAAGTCTAATGACCCCCTAAAGATAAATTGGATGTATTGCTTATTAGTATCTCAGGGGTAGAAACAGAAAGCCATCAGTTATCTTACATAAATAAACGGTCATAAGACTCCTAGATTTCAAGCAACAGAACTTTGGAACTTTCTTTTGGAGAATGCTTTTAGGATTTTCTGAATAGAACTGAGAGTGGGGTGATCGACCCCAGTGAAAGCTGGGGAGCACACAGCAACACCTCTGCCTTGGTATATTTGTATATCCATGAATATTATAGAAAGCGTGTTTCACCATGCCGCAATGGTAAGAATATAATGCCAATATAATAGTAGATAATCATAAAAAGGTATAGCAGAATATATTGACTATTAAACTGGGAGATGCAAACATTTTTAGTATGTCTGCAATTCGTAGTAACTTGTTTTGCATTTTACAGAAAAATAATATGTATTACAAAATCGAGGTTATAGGTGAAAAACCTTTTAAATATTAATCAGTAATGTACTGCATATGTACAGTGGCAGTAAAACGGGGGTAGATTCAATACAATTCTGCAGTAATCAAAAATGAAAAAAAAATTTGTTGCTAGGTAAATGAAAAATATAAACTAGTTAAGTGGGTGAAGCTAAAGAAAAAAATGAGATGATGGCCCTGCTCCAACAGTTTTCATTCTAAAAGTATCTGTGAATAATTACACAATATGTAGAAATATTATTTCATTACAGATTAGATCCTTGTTAAATTGCAAGTGAATCCCACTTTCTTTGCTATTTTGTGAGTGGGATAAATTGTTAATCAAATGCAAGGGTTACTGATAGCTGTCTATTATAACATGGACATGAAAATTTAGATTAACAAGATATTAATGCTGCAATTTAAATTCAGAGTCCATAAAATATCCAATTTTGAGTGGTATTTATAGATTAATTTATTTTCATAGTTTTCCCACTGTAAGCTCAGTGACCATAATTTGAATTTCACTTTTCTGAAATAAATAAAAGGATATAAAGATGTAAATCAGCATAAATCAGCACAGTGATTCATTAGTATTTATAATGTTTTCTCACTCGTCACTTAAAATATATTAACTTCATCATCAAAAAATATTAAAGTGGGGGAACGTGGCTTGGTGCCTGAACTGAATGGACGCACATCTGTGAGGCTCTGGCCGTTCGGGTACCTTTGAGCAAAAATAATCGGTCTACAGAGCAGAATTATAGCACCTACAGACTCACTATGTCTCAGAGACAGAAGAACAAAACAGCTAAAGCGGACCGAGCGTCCTTCTTCTTGACAAAGACCGCTGGACAGAAACGGCGGGAAGGCCGCAGCCACTACAAAGATGGCGGAGAAGCCCGCTCCCGCGAAGGATCGCTATCACCCTCAGCCTCCCTGGGTTCCCTCTCAGAGGAACAACCCCTAACAACTACAGCAATGCGGAACATGCTTACCGACCTGGCTGAACAACATGAAGAAGCAGCTGCAAAGTCTAGCGGCGGACCTCCGCAAAGACATCTCAGACATAGGCCAACGCATGGCCCACGTGGAAAATAAATTGGACGAATGCGCTGAGGCACATAACCGACTAGCAGCCAAGGTGCAGGAACAAGAAACAACCCTCCACATGTATAAAACCAAGCTGGCAGACCAAGAGGACCGATCGAGAAGGAACAATATTCAGATCCGAGGTGTACCGGAAACGGTATTAGCCATAGGCCTCACTGACTACCTTCAAGATATAACACCAAGAAAAAAAATAAAATAAAAGTAAGGGCTGCGCTGAATAAAACTCAGTGTAAAACAAATAGTCCAGATAAAATAAAAGGATAAAAAAGAAAAGAAAGTCTTATCTCGAGGCTTCTGTTGAGGTCATATTTTGTAATAATACTTGGTCCAAAACAATTGTCCTTATTGGTATCTTCCTTATGGATCAGCTCGTATGCAAGAGATAAAGGATAAATAGTGAGCCAAATAGTGTAGTATGTTCAACAATGGAGAAGATAAAAATGTAAAATTCTAGAATGCAAACTCACATTTAAAAGAGCTGTAACCCGCTCTGGTGTAGAAGGCGTACAGCGGTTTAATCTCCGCTTATGGGATATAAATAGTTTCCTTCGTCTATTTCCTCCGTCCTTGTTATGGTAAACAAAGGTAGGAGCAGATCAACTGCTCCTTGTAGTTAGCGTTGGTGGTATAATCCCCACCTAGGATTACTTGGAGTCCAGGTACGATAAAAGGATGCCAGGTAAATAGTGAATGTGTGTTAAAAGATAAGTGGTACAATAAAAGTTACCAAATATACTTTAATGTTAAAATTACACAATATAATAACCATAAACGCGTTTCGCCAATACGGCGTTATCAATATGGGGAAAGAACCTGATACCTGGCAGTAAAATCTTTAAATAGCACATATAATCCTTTGAAATTGGCGCCAAAATGTCAGCAGCCAATCACAGTGAAGTTTAAATTTAATATAATTAAAACATAATCAAAATAAGACAAAAGCAATATGTATGAATGAAGAGACATTATGTTAACATTAAAATGTAAATACATATAAAAAAATTAATGGTATATACTTATAATAATCAAATTTTGCGCGGTCACATGACCGGCATAAAACCGAAAGGGGTTGATGGGAGATGTAGTTTGACGCCGGCCGGCACTACGCAACCGCCGGCGTCATAATAGGGAAAAGTAGAAGGCGTCAGCACGCATAGGTAATGACGCCTGATGCCTTCTACTTTTCCCTATTATGACGCCGGCGGCTGCGTAGTGCCGGCCGGCGTCAAACTACATCTCCCATCAACCCCTTTCAGTTTTATGCCGGTCATGTGACCGCGCAAAATTTGATTATTATAAGGATATACCATTCATTTTTTTTTATATGTATTTACATTTTAATGTTAACATAATGTCTCTTCATTCATACATATTGCTTTTGTCTTATTTTGATTATGTTTTAATTATATTAATTTTAAACTTCACTGTGATTGGCTGCTGACATTTTGGTGCAAATTTCAAAGGATTGTATGTGCTATTTAAAGATTTTACTGCCAGGTATCAGGTTCTTTCCCCATATTGATAACGCTGTATTGGCGAAACGCGTTTATGGTTATTATATTGTGTAATTTTAATATTAAAGTATATTTGGTAACTTTTATTGTACCACTTATCTTTTTTATTCTTTATTTTGTTCGTGCAGATATTTTACATGTAGATTAGCACTGCCACATCAGCTGGTGCAAACCGGTTTGAATTCACATGGTAACAGTAGTATGGCATCAAAAACATTGCACTTTTTTTTTTTTTATACAGGGAAATTCACAAGATTATTTTGTACGCTTTAAGATTAACTTTTGATACGTCATACGTTTGTTGCATTTTAAAGAAAAAAAGGGAAAATAAAACGAGCAAAGATTACTATTTTGGGCAGCTGTCAGATTATGTTTAGTCAGGAGAAACAGATACACCCATTAGCTTAAGTAGTAAGGACATGGAGATTGATTGTAATAAACCCCTGATTGTTAGACTTAACTCGTCATTTGTAGTGTTGTGTGGTAATGAGGAGCCTTTGGTTCTATACAGTGGGTGCAAAGGGACATCCCTTTCGAGATGTATGATGTAAGTAAGGTTTATCTGTGTGACATAACATCAGTATGACTTTTCTGGGCGCATGTTAAGTACAAGTTAGAGATTGGGGAAACAGGGTGTGACAAGTGACAGGTTATGTATGCTATAATAATGATACCCTGCAGGTACATGCCTGTTATAGGGTAGAGCAACCAAGCGGTCGCTGACAGGCAATAATACTTGATCTCATATAGCTATAAGCCCATGGGTGTAGGAGTATTACTTAGCCCATTAGAAACATATAAGCATGCTATACCGTACTCAATGTGGAGAAAAATAAAAGACAAAGTAAATTAATATAAGGGAGCATTCTAATAGGTTGCACTGAAGCTAAAATGTGCCACTGGAGTCTCTCAAGGCCACGCAGCCCCCCAGGCGCCATTCTCTGTGTGCCGCAGATGACATATAGACAGTCCTGCTGGATCTTACGGACTCATTCCTGCCTCTTCTCGTGTCCGATCTGCAAGTCCTGTGAAAAGTTGGGTTGTTGCCAGTCCCGTGCTCCATGTGCGCCTGTCACCTGTGCCTCCGGTTCCCCTGCCATGGATGGTCAATATCGGGATTCCCAGGTGAGATGTCATCGGGCTGTGGTTCGGGGGTTGTCGTCAGGGTGCTCTAGGCCCAAGTTGGCAGCTGCTAGGACCGGACTTTGATATGAGGGCTGGTCAGATGAGGCAGCTCCGCTGCTTAGCAGGTTGTAGTAGCAACAATAGCCCAGGGTTAAGAGTTGGGGCGGCATGGTCCAGGAAGCCATATGAGTGCTGGTAACGCTGTCGGGCCCAGCGGGTGCCATGCGGCCGCCATCTTGTTGGTCGGGCGCTGAGGTTCGTTGGCTGAGAATCTCTGCACAGATGGCCCACTCAGTGTCGGCTGCCTCCAGTGGGGACCGGGATAACCCCCGCCGGTCCATGGGGGGGGGACCAGGGCCTGTGAGGGGTATCACATAGCCGTTGGGTGATTGTCAGGCATGCAAACAGGGCAGCGGCCGTCTGCCCCGCTCCTCTCCCGAGTAGGCCGCCTTCTCCAAAGCTTTGTACCACCCAAAGGGCCCTCAAAACTCCCGATCTTGGAGTCCACGGTGTCACCAACAGCTACTTGCACCCTTGGGTACATTACACAGCTTAAGTATTCGCAGTGAGTCTATAAATTTTGCTTAAAAAGCCAAGCTCAGCAGGAGCCTCTGCAGCATGCGACCGGTCAGCATGGCTGCCAGGCCCCGCCCCCCGTACCACTTATCTTTTAACACACATTCACTATTTACCTGGCATCCTTTTATCGTACCTGAACTCCAAGTAATCCTAGGTGGGGATTATACCACCAACGCTAACTACAAGGAGCAGTTGATCTGCTCCTACCTTTGTTTACCATACCAAGGACGGAGGAAATAGACGAAGGAAACTATTTATATTCCATAAGCGGAGATTAAACCGCTGTACGCCTTCTACACCAGAGCGGGTTACAGCTCTTTTAAATGTGAGTTTGCATTCTAGAATTTTACATTTTTATCTTCTCCATTGTTGAACATACTACACTATTTGGCTCTCTATTTATCCTTTATCTCTTGCATACGAGCTGATCCATAAGGAAGATACCAATAAAGACAATTGTTTTGGACCATGTATTATTACAAAATACGACCTCAACAGATGCCTCGAGATAAGACTTTCTTTTCTTTTTTATCCATTTATTTTATCTGGGCTATTTGTTTTACACGGAGTTTTATTCAGCACAGCCCTTACTTTTATTTTTTTTCTTGGTGTTATGTCTTTTGAGGGAATCCCTTATAGGGTTGCTGCTCTATTGTGTTATTTGGCGCTTACTCACTGCTTTGGTTTTACCTTCAAGATATGTTCCAAGTGTTCACCCCAGCTATCCACCTGGACCAGCTGCTCGTGGACAGAGCACACCGTCTCCGTCGGCCACAACACCTGCCACCCACAACTGAGAGGGATGTCATTGCACGCATCCACTTCTTTAATGCCAGAGAGCAGCTGATGAAGGTGAGCCGAAATGCTGATTTGCCCGACCCTTATGGACACATCAAGATCGTTGCAGATTTAATCTGCAGAAACTCTGCAGTTTCGGAAACACTTGGCTCCGGTCACTACCACCCTACGTGAACAAAAAGTAGTGTACAGATGGGGATACCCTGGAAAGCTTTAGGTCCACCACAAAGGAACCATGCACGCGATCTCTACCCTGGAATCAGGTTTCTCTAAGCTCAAGGACTGGGGTTTTCAAATACCAGAGCGCTTACAACAGAAACCAGCAAAAGCCCCCAGACTCTCCCCAGAGTGGACACTCGCATAAGTGCCATATAAGACATTCCTTCCTGAGCGGAGGCATGATTCCAGTATCCTTCCAAGACAACCTGAGATCTACTGCAGTTTCAGAGATCATTTTGTATCACACCCTGAATGTTTTGAATTATGGACAGACCAATGTTAAATGTAATGTTAATGCAATGTAAATGTTGATTGATTATGCCCTAGGGTTAGTCGGATAGATCTACACCAGTTCCTACCCCATGCAGTTAGAGAACTACCAGGCTGTAAACCACCTCCCCACAAAAGGAGACTTGCCCCTCGTAGCCTCAGAAACTAATGGGGAGCCTGGAGTGATCACAGGTATCAGCGGGTACTAACCTCAGTTGTAGTATATATGCACATGTTTAGGTGTTGTGCCTGGTTAGCCTGTGCCCTGTGGTTGCCTAGAGCGACCTAACCCTGTATGTACCCTAAGCAGTTGAGGCTGTGGCGGCCCAGGCACAACAAGTGTTAACCAACTAAAAGGGGTGATTCCGTACATCGGAGGCCCCTCCTGGGGGGAACCACAACATTGGTCGCCCCTGTCACCGCAGTACCGGGGAACCGGCACCGTAAACCTCCCAAATGTCTCCCCATATGCAAGAGAACATGGGACTCGGACCTATCTTGCATTCTAACCCCCAGGGAGGATGTTACACCCGGCCGAGGGCCCCCTCATTAACTGCTATACACAGGGAGCCGATGACCCAGCCCAGGCCAAGATAGGGCCGACGGCATCTATGAGTTCTTTTTTACTTTATATCTTCCTTTTTTGGTCTAACCTGTTCTCACTGACTCTCGAGACATTTCAAAATCACAATTTTGCAACGCTCCTACCTCCATCGGAGTCACATATGCGCTGCACGCCTATGGCAAAGCTCGACCTCCCACCCCCTAGGCTCTGCGATTGAGAGTTCCTTGACACAATGTGGCTCTGAGCAAGGGAGCTAGTTAGGGCATGTTGCCCACCCGTTTACTTTATTCCCTCACCTATCCCCCCCATCTGGTCTCATTCCACCCCAGAGGGTCCCTCCTCCTTCTACGAAATGTCATCCAGGTACTCAAACTCCGGCTACCCCGCCAGAACTGAATCATTTACCACATCTTAACAAGACGCAAGAAACCCTATTCAGCCGACTTGTCACTGGCACACGCAAATGATATGTAGCGCTCTCACCCCCCATCATACCAATATGAGACTTATCTCCCACAATGTCAAGGGGTTAAACACCCCAGGTAAACGCAGACTACTGCTTAAACATTTGATAAAAAACAGGGCAGATATTGCCTGTATTCAGGAAACACACTTTCGAAATGACCGCACTCTGGCCATATTCATGAAAACTTACCCCGTCCAATTTCACTCTCAGGCAAGCACTAAGATGAAAGGAGTATCAATTCTGGTCCACAGAGATGTAGCCTTCACTCCAGTAGAGCACAGTATAGATCCAAGGGGAAGATACATAATATTGGTGGGACAATTCAACGATGTCCACCTCACGTTAGTAGCCACCTATTTCCCTAATGAAAATCCTAAGCAATTCCTCCAAATAGCATTGCATAAAACAGACAAGATTAAACGAGGCAATGTAATACTATGTGGGGATTTTAACTGCATACAATCACCCATGCTCGACACGACTGCCACCCTGACAGGGCACAGCAGAAAGAGATTAGACACCACAAGTAAGGCATTTACCAAGCTGACCTCTACGACGCCTGGAGATCACTGCACCCAGGAGATAGGGACTATTCAATCTACTCGAGGGCCCATAACACCTATACCCGCATAGACGCATTCCTCATAGACAGACAACTCCTAGCCCAACTGACTAACTGTACCATGGGAGACATAACATGGTCAGACCATGGCCCGGTATACCTTGACCTCTTGGACGCCTTCCAATTTAAAGGAAGAGGCTCCTGGAAATTAAACAACTCACTGTTGTCAGACACCACATTTGCTAAAGAAATAAGGGAAGCACTACAATCATACTTTGACACAAATAGTGGAGCAGGAATCTCAGACAGCACAGTTTGGTCAGCGCACAAGGCAGTCATAAGGGGCCTGTTTATCAGGAGATCCTCCTTTCTGAAAAGACACCACCAAACCAATCTCCTACACCACAACCCTCACCACAATTAGCAGCACAACTTCAAACGCTATATACCCGCTTAACAGAGCTAAACGCAGTAAAAAACAAGAACATGCTCCACAAATTAAAAGCCAATGTTTACCAAATTAGTGGCAAGGCCAGTAAATACTTAGCTAATAGAGTACAAGCAAAGTACGCCAACTCAAAAATCACCCCCACTGCTATTAGTCAGGAATTTGCGGAGTTCTACTCCAAACTCTATAACCTGAACACCTCTGGCAATGTACATTTGGCAAGCACAGACGAAATAGATAGTTACCTACAAAAGGCTAACCTCCCCCAAATAGATCTGACACAAACAGCCCAACTGCTAAAACCTATCACAATACAGGAAGTGCTAAACGTGATAACGGGATTACCAAGGGGTAAAGCACCGGGAGCGGATGGTCTCTCTAATGCCTATTACAAGCTATATGCTCAGGAACTCACCCCGCACCTCCTGAAGGTGTATCACTGAGCCTCCGAATCAGGGAAACTACCGCATGAAATGCTGTTGGCCACCATAGTAACCTTACCCAAACCGGATAAAGCACCAGACCAATGCAAAAATTACGACCCATATCGTTATTAAACACGGATGCAAAAATATACGCAAAAGTCCTAGCAAATAGACTCAGCAGCCTCTTGCCCACACTCATAGGCGACGACCAAACAGGATTTGTGAAAGGCAGACAAGGGCTAGATAACACCCGCAAACTGATGCTGCTATTGGAGACCCTCAGAAAGGACAGGGGCAGCGGGCTGCTCCTTGCGCTAGATGCCGAAAAGGCGTTTGATCGTCTCAGCTGGCCTTTCCTAGAAAGCACACTGCAGGCATATGGTTTCCCCCCACCAGTCGTGCGACAGGTATTCGCACTGTACTCTACCCCATCAGCACAGGTCCTCCAAGCTGGATTTAAATCACACCCCTTTAGCATCACCAACGGGACGAGACAGGGCTGCCTCCTATCATCCCTACTGTACGTCCTGGCCCTAGAACCCCTTTTACGCAACATCAGAGCGCACCCTCTCATACAGGGAATTACTGTGAAAGATACAGAATATAAAATCAGTGCTTTCGCAGACGATATACTACTATATGTCATGGAACCAGTTGAGTCCCTTCCTAACATTATGCAGACTATCAAACACTATGGCCAGCTGTCGTACTATTCGTTAAACGCATCGAAAACTCAAGCAATGGGGATAGGAATCCATGCCTCCCAGATGTTGACCCTGAGCAAGACATACCCATTTGAGTGGAGTCAGACTATAAAAAGTATTTGGGACTCCTCTTTACCAGGAAACCCTCAGGCCTCCCAACTAGGAACTATATCAGGGTCTGGAATCACAGTAAAGTAATCTTAAAGACATGGGGGGCCCTCTACCTTACATGGACCGAAAGAATAGTGGCACTGAAGATGTCAGTGCTTCCACGGTTACAATATGTCTTTCGGACCCTCCCACTAAAAATCCCCCAATCCTATTTCAAAGCAATCCAGAAAGACATGAATAAGTTTATTTGGGGGAATGGGAGACCCCGGTGGTGCTGAAACTCCTCAAAGCACCGCTGAGGGAGGGAGGATTAGCAGTTCCAGATGTTCGTGCCTACTACCAAGCAGCAATACTAGCAACCGCACTACCACACCTTATAGACCAACCCCCACCACAATGGGTAACCTTGGAGGCACGGTTGCTAGAACCATACAAAATCTCACATATTCTGAGGAAACCCTCAACACTTCCGCCAACGATACCAAACATGCTGAACCAAATGTCATTACTACTGCAAACATGAGATGCACATAGAACCAAACTGAGCACCAACCCCCAAATATCTAAAGCTATGCCCACGTGGCCCTTAACATATTGTATCCCAACGTTCAATGCTAGACCATGGCACGAAAAGGGCCTACATAACTTAACCCACTTCTACACGGGAACTAAGCTAACAGATTTCGCTGCACTGCGCTCAGTTCATGGGATCCCACAGGCCTCCCACTTCTCTTATAGACAACTCCAATCCTTCCTACGCAAATACGAACCCCATGACCCCACAACACACGAAGTAGGGATACAGAACCCCACACTGTGGGAACAGATATGCCTGGACAAGTGCCTGCCTAAATCATGCAGGCCGCACTCCATGTGTTACAAACTACTCTTAGAATACTCCCCACTCCCTGACACCACACCTGTGAAACAGTGGTCACTAGACCTCAAAGAAGGGATCTCCCAACAAACATGGAATGACATCATTATCTCTCCAAAAAAACTGGTTAAATCAGCCACTCTCCTTGAGCAACATACGAAAATGATATATAGATGGCACTTAGTGCCCGCGAGGCTGCACAAACTTTACCAAACTAGCTCCCCACAATGCTGGAGATGTGCATCTCATGTCGGTATTGTACTGCACACATAGTGGCAATGTCCGCTGATTCAACCGTTCTGGGAAGATATACGCAAAATACTGTTAGAAATTACACACGTAGAACTAAAATACGACCCACGCACATGCTTGCTGCTCTCGCCCCCCTCAGAAACACCTCCACACATTCGAAAAATCGCATATCACCTGCTGCTTACAGCACAACGGGTGATAGTGAGAAATTGGAAATCTAGCCTAACCCCAGCAATAGAGATAGTTCTCTCAGAACTAGACAACCAAAGAATATATGAACAACGTTTCACCAACATATGCCCCCCTACCGTAACAAATAAGGCGGCCTGGGAAGCCTGGGAGACATGGAGACAGACACACCGCAAATAGGAATAGAACATACACGGGTGCAGTGAGGGTAGATAGAGGTCAGAACAAACATACTCGGGACAACCCGAGGGAAACCAAGAAGAGTAACATGTATGTATAGAGGACAGTGTACAAAAGGAATGATTAATGTCTACCTCGTATGTACTTGTGTGGTATAAAAATATTGGATGACACTTCCCCCCTCCCCCCCTTTTCTTCTTTCTGTACCCCTCCTAACCTTATCACTTATATGTTGAAAACAATAAAAATTGTCAAATTTAAAAACAAAAATTAAAGTTTTGACTACAGTAGCAGTTGCATAAACAAAAGCACTTAAGCTACAGTTTACACAATATATTTACAAGACAGCCATATAGATCATATTCAGTGCCACAAGTAAGACATATATAGAATAAGTTTTAAAATCTTTATCTAGATGGATATTCTTATTCTAAGCACCAAAAAGAGCAGTTTGAGGAGTCTAATCGATTTGATTATGCAGCTGGCTTAACATTTTTTTGCCGAAGATCATAATCATATGTAAATAATCCAAAAACAAAAATTTTGTTCATAAATGTTTGGGTTCTCCTATATTATATATGTATACACAAACACACACACACACACACAGTAGATGTGAGTGCAATAGAAAATAATTGAATAACTATCCTTTGTACATTACCTCTACAAGGTGATTAAGGCAACCAAGCTGAAACATTGTATTTGGCGTTTATCCAATCATTTAATAAAACTTTGTAACCTAACTGTGTTTTGGCAGAATCATCAAAGTTCACCTGTGTGCAGTATACCATTTGAATCACCTCTAAGAGGTTCTGGAATATTTAGAAGATAATATGAGATATGTATATATATATTAAACCATGTTAATAGTTTTAAAAGTGGCTCTGTCATCTTCTAGAGTTTTTGTATATTTTGCAAAGACCACAGTTATGGACTGCTGCATTTGTGTTACGGTGGCCATGGGCATCAGGGGCAGGTAGGTTTTACTTACCTGAAACGGTCCCTCATGGGCACTATCATCTTGTTCCTCAAAGTCCTCTTCAACTCCTGGTTCTTCATCTGCCATGGGCCAACATCATCTCTTGTGAATACAATAGACATGTGCATCGTTTTCGTACGAATAACGAATAACATGTCCCCTGTTCCCCAAGGTGGGGAACACTAATAATTAAAATGGGGGGGGGTCTGTCAGGGTCTTACCTGAGATGGGAGTCTGTAGTGCAGATATGTTGCTCACCCTTGCAAATAGACACAGTCCAAGGTGATCAGATATGAACCCAACTGGACTGTAAATCTGTGCAAGGAGGCTGTGCTGGATAAAGCTCCAAGTCACAGTACAGGCAAGGACACAAACAAAATAGTCAAGGCATAGCTGAAATCAAAGGATGTCAGAGGTCAGAATCAACGAAGTGTAGCCGAAGAAATGCCAAAGGTTAGGATTAACACGGTCAGAAGCTCGGGTCAATATAAAGTAGTAGTTTAAGAGACTGGAACGGAACACACACAACAGGATCAAAGACTTGATGAAGTTCACAGGGCGAGGCTGTGTTTATATACCCTGCTGATGTCTGATCGGGGTCAGGTGAAGCACAGCAATAGTTCAGCCCCCAGTGCTGCAGACAAGCCAGGATGAACAGGACTGGAATAGCTCAAAATAAACAAAACTGCTGTGGTCCAAAGGTAGAATGCAGGTCCAGGACCGCAAAGTTGACAGGTTCAAATTCTGGGGCGACCACGTATGGTCGTCTGGATGTCACAGTGAGAACCATGATAGGACCCCCTCTTTAAGAATGCCTGTCATGCCCCTACTACATGGGGGACCTAGCACAGGTAGGGGCAAGCAGGAGGATTAACCTGTGCCAGGTCTTATAGGTGCCCAGTCTAGTACTTTTAAATTTGTTTAGGCGACATGCTCGCGGACGAGAGTAGGGGCATGCGGGATGATTTAACCTTCCTTTTATCAATATGGGAAAGCATTAGATTGGCTAAAAATCTGCAATTGTGATGTCATCGTGCAGGCAGACCTGCTCGGTGCTGGAAATAAGGTAAGTTTTTATTGCTTTTAAGGGGGCTGAGGTGGGGGAGGGGGGGGCGCAAACCACCTAAATGGTGGGTTTATCACTATAGGGTCCGGAATACATGGTTGTGTTCCTGACCCTATAGTGCTTCTTTAATAATTTTAAACAAAATTTAATTTTATGGTATTATAATTTTATTTTATTTTTTATGCAAGATTCATATGCAAATTAATGATGGAACAGAGAAATCTGCAGAACACAGTAATCGGCAAACATAATAACGGAGCAGGTATATGTAACAGTGTCCACAATTTATTAATGTATGTTATTATGCATTCTGAATGCCTCGGCTGTGACGTGGAAAAGCATGAACATTTATTGTTTTTTACATGAATACTGCTACCAGCATATTGAGAAAATAAGACCCATTGATTAGATTTATTTATAAAGTAGTATTATCTGTGTGTATAATGCTCTCTTTGTGCATGTTTAACATTAAAATACTCTTAGCATTGAATGTCCATGTGTACAGAGCTAGTAGCACAGGTAGAGCCATGTCTTAAGTGTGCATATTTTTGTTAATGTCTGAAAAGACTAACGTTCTCTCCTGAAGGCACCTTTAAATGACCGTTAAAAGGCTTTATTTACTATGTACCTTAATCCGTGTAAGTGATTTTATTCCTCAGCGCTCCAGATATCAGATGGTACATATCACCATCACATTGTATATGGAGTGGTAAACAATGAGTATACTATAAATTATTTATTTATAAAATATTCCACCAGGAAAGATACATTGAGATTTCTCTTGTTTTCAAGTATGTCCTGGGTGTAATAATATCAGTCACATCAGTGTATCACTGTAAGGGGCCTGGAGGAAAGCCGTTAAAGGACAGAATATTGCAATATCTTATTAAATTGTCACTAGTGATACAAGAGTCACTTTCGTACTTCACATCAGGTTTGTTCAGAGAACAAGAGCTGACAGTAGAGAAATTGATCACTGGGCCCTTTAAATAGAGGATTTAGGACTACGGCTTCCCAGTACAATACTAAAATATATTATGTAACGTACATTTTATTATTTTATTCCAATTCATTCAATATTGATAAGAAAATATGCAATATTACATTAAGAAAAGGAATGGGGTGTGAAATTACAGTGTGTCGGTTCAATGTCAAATCTGACTGCAGTCCTCACCTTTTTTCAGGATCTCACAAGAGCCAGCGAAAGTAACGAAAAGAAGTAGCGAAAATCCTATGGCCCAGTCACTACCCAATTGAGATCTACAGGTATGGCCTACAGATGGGGGGGCGAGCACTGGCTCTCTGGTGGTAAACCATTCTAGAACTACTCATAACCTGGAATCAATGGCAGGAGTATTGGCCTTCCTGAATAAAATAGGACTTACTTTCCCGACAACAAGCCTGCCCGAACAGCGACCGGGGGCAATATGGGACCGAGCGAATATCACTCCTTTCATTCCAGGGATCAGAGGGTCCGCACTGGGGCCGCAACCACCGGATGATCCAGAGATAACGAGGAGTAAAAGCATCAGAATGTTCAGTTTAATTTGAGTTTATTTTAGTTCCTTTTTGCTATTTGTTTCTCTATATTGTGTGTAATACTTAAATTTTTCTCTGATTCAGGATAGATATACAGGGCCTAACACATAAGCAGTCCTGACAGTCCATCCCGACTACCCACTTGGTTAGGTGATGGATGCATAACCCCCATCCCACTATCCCATAGAGTTAGAATTCTGAAAATGGCACATTTCGGTTTAGCCCAAAAGCTAATTGCCCTCCCCACTTATAAGGTCCATGCATTCTATGACTAACTTATTCCAGCATGCTCACATATACACAGTCGAAACGCCTGTTTGCTTTATCCACCCATACGGATTCCTCACCTGGGCGTAAGTTATTCCATGCCACTCGGTAATCACAACAGTCTGTCTGCCAGTTTCAATCATTTTTGTACCGTGGTAAACCCTTTTAACCCCTTAAGGACCAAACTTCTGGAATAAAAGAAGTCATGTCATGTGTCCTTAAGGGGTTAAGGTCCCTAGTTTCCAGTTATTTTGTTTCCATTTATAAAAATGGTGCAAGGTTACAGCTATTTACAAAACATCTCTCTCAATGAATATTGTATGTATCTTTAACCCCTTAAGGACCGCTATCAGAAACATTCCCTTGAGGACCGATGACAATCCTGAACCGTCATAATGGTAATATTTACTTACCCGATCACCTGTGTTGCTCCCGGTCTGCGGGAAATAGGCCCCCACCCCGCGGCCACGTGATCGCTCTTACACCTTCCCTCCAAAAAGCGCTCGCCTGGCCAGTTGCAAAGTGGTTCAAAACCTCGGACCAAGTTGTCTGGGAACCGCAAGGTCACCTCATGCCGAAAACAGTTCCATAACATTAGCGGCTAAGTACCGCTATGGTGACCGGGAAATCACAAAGTCCTCATGACATAATTAGTTCCATAGCTATTGTGGCTAGGTACTGCTGAGGACCATTAACTGGGTTTTGTTCATGCTAGAGTTAGAGTTAGGTTCCATATGAGTGAAGGGAAAGTGCCGAACCTGGAGCACTGAGGGAAAGCTGCTAATGGCGGGTGTGTATGGTAACCTCCGAACAAGGTCTCCGACCTGGACCATAGTCGGTGGGCAGTAGGCCAGCTTCCACACTCCTCCAGGAGTTGTGTTAAACATACATGGGAACAGTCATGCCCAATTATATCTTTGTTTTGAATGGACTAAGGGGAACTAACACTAACTGAGACCAGGCAGAGCACACCGTATTGCAGCTGCAGGAGCTCCTGAAAGTTGACTGGCCAAAGCAACATACGCCCTGGAACTATTTTGGGCATATGACCATTGGTGCTGCCAGTCAGAACTTTGATACAGTGACGTTTCCCCTACACTGCCTGGATCTGAGCGCTATTTGAACAACTTGGGCACTTAGATCAGGGGATGTAGGACATGTGGGGTTATTGTATGTTTTTATTATGTTTTGGGGTACTTTTATGTTTTTATGTTTTGTGTTGGACTCTGGGAGATAATTAGCTTACCGGTCTTTAACTCAATTATATCCCAGACCCAGAGATTCCTGGAGGGGCTTGTGTTGAATACCATGGAGACCCCATGCTGGGCTCTCTGTGCATAAAAGACTGAGTTTGGCTCAATAAAATCTGTTGTACTCCCAGAATTATGTGCCATCTAGTTACTGGGAGGGGAAAGGGCTAATCCCTGCTCAGCACCTTGTTCCAGCTCGTGGAGGATTGGGCAGGGAAAGTCCTTATAAGGACTAGAGCTCCCAGGACTGTGTGTCGTCCACTCCCGAGGAAATAGAGTTTGCACCCTGTCCTGTTCCAGGACGGAGAGGCTCCAGGAGGATCCCAGTGAAGCCCTGGTGACTGGGGCAGAAGCGCTGAGGTTTTTCCCCGGTTCCAGCTAGGGAATGATCATTGGCGGAGGTACCCAGCCGGGGTATAGCGAGCTCCGCTACAATGACCCCAATATGTTGAGTACCGAACCTGTAGCACAAGAGCACCTCTGACATAGGTCCTACTGCCCAGAATAGAGAGAGTTAAGGTAACCAAGGGTTCTATACCAGCACAACAAGATATTATTCATCTCCTGAAAATGGAAAGCCGATTTTCCTGCACAGATGGTCAAATAAGGCAATGTCCAAAACCCTTTCTCAAAATCTTACAAAAGGACTTGACAGAGGACAGAGATCCCAAGTGGAAGATCGGCATCCACCATGCAATACTGCTCAAATGTAGTTCAATTCCACTCCAAAGGATGAGCCAAAAGGAAAGAGTTGGTCAGGCTTGCCACCTGTTTACCTCTCCAGTCGGCTGCTTACTTCCCTGTTTCCTCCGGCGTTCCGTCCAATGATGCATGCATGAGTGTGGCATGCATTATGTGTGCCCTAATTTGGTCCCAAATTCAGCGCATGAATAGGACATCAAGGTTCAAAGTAAAAGGGGTCAATTACTGTCTACAAATCATATGAAATTCCAAGATGACCTAGGCCAATAAGAAATAAGACCTGCCTATATATACTCACCTCTCCCATTCCTTGTTGCCCTATTGTGGTTCTTGCTAGCCCAATAGCGTGCTACGTTTTTATTCTCCTTTGGTATTTATCCTGGTTCTGGTTTATTGTTGTTCCTGTCCTTTGTGCTCTTTTGACCTTGGCTTGTTTAACATTTATCCTGATTTCTATTTTCTTTTGATCTCAGCTGTTCTCTCTGACTGTTTGTCCATTAACCTGGCCATTATAAAGATCGACATACAGAAAGTCTATTTATTGTGAATCATTTTCTGTGTTCTGGTTCCACCAGATGCTGACAGAGTTAAGTGGGAAAGTTGAGAATAATAAAAATGTTCTAAAAAACTTGGACATCCAAAGAGTAAAGAGTCCAGAGATTTCATCCTACCTCTGAAAGCAAATGGTGTGCGTAAAGGGGACCTTTTATCCATAAAGAGGGTTAGGCCGCCTTTCAACCCCAGCTAGGAAATTAAGATTGTTCAATATAGGGGACAGAAGAAAGTCTACAGCATTGGAGAGCACAGAAACATTAGGGCCAGTGGTTTCCAGGGAACTCCATATTTTGAGCAGAGAGATATGACGCCTCTCCAAGAGACTCCGTAGATGAGTGGCTTCGTAATATCTCTGAAAAGAAGGCAACGCTCCTGCCTGGCAAAAGTAGTCAGGCCACATTCAGTCTAGGAGCCTGTCCACTCCAGGTAAACTTAAACAGAGCAGTATTAAGGGAGGCAATAAAATATGTTTACGGATGTGGAATGTAACAATCTGAGAAATGTATAACATCTGGTAGAGCAAGTTCATTTTAGTGGTATTGATCCTACCCAACCATAACAAGTGGAGGAGGAACTATGACAGAAGATCTATTAAGCAGGAAAGAACTGGAGCCAATTTTCTATGATACCAAAAAGAAAGTTCCACCATTGAGCAACAAACCCAGACAACTCATTTGTTCTGAGCAAATAAATGTTCTAGGGACAGTGACACTGATATTTTCAGGTGGTTTCTCATGTTCAGTTGGCAATTAGACAAATCTCCATGGGGGGGAGGGAGATGCGCTATGCATAATGTCAGTATAAGATAATTGATCACACCCCTAGATATCAGGGTGTGAACACACTGCAAAAAGAAGAAAACCAATGCCCGAGTCTATGGACCTACTTGGAATGAAGGGACAGAAGAAAATAATGTGGTTCTTTCAAATGGGGTGGTACCAACTAAAAGACTGGCTATGTGGCTGTGCTATGAAAAAAGCACCCTTTTTGCTTTCCCAGTCTTCTGTTTTCCAGTACAGACAGCGTTTGGAGTAACATAGGATTATATTTGTTGATCGAGAATCTTTCAACAAACATGAGGAATTGGCAACTCACATTCAAAGCTAAATTGCTTTAAATACTTTTGGAAGGATAGGTCTGTCTTTGAATAATCTGCAGAGATTAAATGTCAGCATTACAATGCTAAGGTAAATGAAAAAAGAGTGAAAACATTTTTTTTATTTTTTTATTATTCTTTATTTTGGCAGGTGATGTATGACAAAACAGCAATTTCATTGTATAACAATTGATAGTCAAGATTTGCAAACAATTGTGTCTAGTGTGTTCACCTATTTTTTTTTTTTAAGTAATAACTATTGGTAGATTAGTGATGCCCAAGAGCATGGGGGTAGGTAATCGATGTATCTGCCTTCTCTGCCGTTTAGGCTAAAAAGTGAGACTGTGTCTGTGGTGTTAGTGTATCTCCCGGGTGGTGTATAGGCCTCTAACCTATGAGGTAACACCCTATGACATTATGAGAGTTGATAGCTATCTCTAGGGGGTGGGTTTCTGTTGCTATAGCAACACTTAGTTGTCCACTATGTGGCGGTTGTGTGGATATCAGTAGTAAGTAGGTATAGTTATTCATATATAAGTAACAAAACTAAAGGTAATAAAAGCATAAAAGTAAAGGATTAAACTTGAACAGTTGGTTCCAATCAGGTCATTAAGATTTAAGTCAGAGAGTCACGTTCTTTCCCTGGCACAAAGGGAGTGATTGCTGAGAGGTTCCATTGATGGTTGGAACTTATTGATGGAGTTGCTTCAGCTATGGGCAGGGACTGAAGGAAGGCCAGACCCTCTGTGGGGCTTGTTGCTCGCAGGGTCTTCCCTTCTTGAATTACTGTGAGGGATCTTGGGTAAGTCCAGCGGTAAGCAAGTCCTGCAGTTTGTAGAGCTTCGGTAATAAGTTTCATTGATTTCCTCCACAGTAAGGTGGCCCTGCTGAGGTCTTGAAAAAAAGGTAATGTTGTGTGTTTCAAATTGAAGTGGGGTTTTCGCTTTTAGCGCCGTGAGGAGTCTTTGTTTATCTGCAACGGTTTGACAGCACAGGATTAAGTCTCTAGGAGCCGTGGTGAGCGCTTGTGAGGATTTTGTGATGCGGTATGCCCCAAAGGTGAATTGTTTGGAGGATTTCACAGCAGGATGGTTGCGGCTAAGTGCCTTATGAAGTGGGGAATTTCTTCCGGAGGGTGCGAGTCTGCTACCCCTCGGATTTTGATGTTACGCTGCCTTCCCCTGTCATCCAACTGGTCCACTCGTGTGGATAATGAGGTGTGCAGTGCTCTTAGTTGCTGGACAGATTCATTCAGGGTAGTCATCCCTTGGTTGAGATCCTGTATGTCCTCCTCAGTAGCTTGTACCCTGTAAGCCACTGCTTGCACTTCTATCTTAACCAGATTCAGTTCTGCCAAGAACATGTTTTAGAAGTGCATGAGTAAGTTGTGCATGTCTTGCTTTGTGGATGGGGCCATTCTGTTTGCTATGGTTGGGGCTTCAGTTATTACTATTCCCGCAGTGGGTGGCGGAGTAGTATCAGGCTGTGTAGTGGCTATACCTCTAGTGCGTGTAGGGGCCGCCAGCATCTGGCCGATATCTTGCCCATCTTTAGGGGTGGGTTGAGTAGGTTTCTTGTGCACCATGTCTGTCTCTTTAGGGGTTGGATGGCTGTTTGCCGTGGGCAGGTTACCTCCTGTGTCCAGAAAGCCCCAGTGTGCCGCACTCTGTTCCCACGGTACTCCCGCGCTGTAGGCCCGGCTTCCCCACCATCGTTTTTTGCCACTCGCAGGGAAAATGAATGGCATCTGCCTGCTGTAGACCGCTTCCCCCTTATGATGATGGTGTTTCTGCTTCGGTAGAGCTCTTGGTTCCGAAGATATAGTCGCTTTTTCGGTGGTGTGCTCGGAGCTCTGTAAAATGGCATCTAGCTCAGAGTGCTGCTTGGCTCCCTAAAACAGTGAAATTTTTAAAGACCTTATTCATGTGACCTGCTTCTTAGCCAAACAGGAATTAGCGGTTTGTGGTAATGGTAAGAGTGCAAGCTTTTCTAATTATGGCAACTATGTGGTTCTATGACATGCTTTTGCTGAGAAAGATGTAAGGTTAGCTAAACATTTGCAGACATACACTGTTTTCTGGCTTATCACATGAATGCAGAGTGATTTCATTGAGGCAGTCACTGATAATTCAAACTTATATCAAACAGGAGATTAATGCAGCCACATGTATTGCAGTCGAAGTAGATGAGATGACATATCACAAAGCCCAGTTCTCTGTCATTATGCGTTACGTGGCTAAAAGTGAGATGACTTGTGAGGTGGTACAAGAAAATTCCCCCTGCACTCAGGTTCCGCTCAATAATCTGGTCATCTACCTGGGAGGTGCTCTGTGAAGGCAGCAGACACTGCAATCTGTCAAGTGAAGTAACAAGGAACACAGGCGACACTCCAAAGGTCCAAGATGATTCTGATATTATAGGGTAAGTCTCCTCAAAATTAAGTGCAACGTTTCAGCTCTATGCAGCCTTAATCATGCCACTTGGGAGGTGGTGTCAGGGTTGTTGATGTCATTCCTGGGACCCCAGCGTTCTGTGTGACGTTGCACACTCTTTCGCCACATGTTTTTATGTGTGATCGAATTTGGGTCTGAATGGTGCATTTGCTGGACTGAATTTAGCGCAATCTTATCAAGTTACTAAGCAGTCTAATTGGGTTTTTGCACAACCCAAGAATCATGTAATTCTAGAATGATGTGTGCCAATAGAAATTAAGTCCTGTCCATTTATACTCCCCTCTCGCACCTCCCCTTGTTGCCCTGTTGTGGTTCTAGTTAGTCTAATAACGCATTCTTATGTATTCTTATTCTGTTATCTGATTATTGGCTTGTGTAATGGTTCGCCTCACCTACTTCTTTCACCTTGGCTAGTTTACAGTTTATTCAGATTTCTCCTATCCTTGACCGTGGCTATTAATTCTGACACGGTCTACTGTTAATCCGGCCACTCTAAGGACTGGTACACAGAATATAACTCATTTATCGTCTTCTGAGTCTGTACTTTTTGGTTCCTACCCTGTCCTGCCAGAAGGAGGCATTCTTGGGATTTGATGATGTGAGTTATAGACGAGCACTGGCTATTGCGGATTATGTTTTGGGAATGTTGCAGAAATATAATTGGGTTTTCAAACTGGTAGCTCAGACTTACGATGGAGCCTCTGTGATGGTATCAGATCTTAATGAGGGCTAACATGAAAGAAAATATAACCAAAGTCACCTCTTTCCATTGTTATGCACACAAATTGAACCTGGTGCTAATGCATTCAGCAAAACGAGTGCCTTTGTGTAAAACATTTTATTTTTTAAAACATCTTTATTGTGAATGCAAGATACAAAAGCCTTGTCACGCACGATAGCAACAATAGGAAATCCGTTCGATTACAATGAGAATGTCAAACGTGCACATGGAACATTTACAGTCACATTTAAGTTTAACAATGTAACATTAGGGAAACAAAATGTGTCCAGCCTAACAAAGTCATGAATAATGTTCAGTCAATATTCCTAGTGAAAACTTTTTTAAAACAGTTTAAGGACTTCTAACATTTTTCAATAAGTTAACCAAGCACACCCACCTACTGGATGAGGTTGTGAAGAGATGTTTACCAAGAACAGCGCCCACAAGATGGAGCTCAAATTCTTGGCTAGCCCAGACTATCAGCATGTATCAATCTGATCTACATGCGGTGTTCCAGATTATGAGTGAAAATCCTAGTGGTTGGGATAATGACACCATGATGATGGACTTGGGTATGATCTCTGGCTGTCAAAAGCATCAACCTGTTTCCTAATAATTGCATACAAGTGCATTTTCAATTAAACTGACACACTCTTTCGTGTTGCAGAATAAGGTAGTGGATATAGGGTTCTGCTCTGCGATAATCCTTGACACAATGGGAGTTGTGGGATTGCCCGAGACAAGAGTTTGACTATTTTTATGATCGATTCCATTGCGTCATAAATTACCTGACAGACAGTGACTGAAGTAAACATCCTATCAGAGATGAGAGGAAACCCATGTTTTAGAACATCCTGGACAACATCAAATGAAAGCTAGGTTTGATCATTTTGATGAGATGAGTTTACTCTGTTAGGTCGATTGTACAATATTTTATAAAAAATGTCACATTTTGATGACACCAAACTACAGGCCCTGTATGCAAGAATATGCAAGGGGCTTTGACTTTGTTAGACTAAAGGCTGAGTTTATTGAATAGTTCAGAAATGGTTAGGAACAAATGCAAGTCACCTGGACAGCTTTTCAGCTTTTTGGTCCAGACTTCTCATGCAGACGGTTCCAGAGACATCAAAGTTACTCCAGCTGGTGTTCACCATACCAGCTACAACAGCGTCCGTTGAAAGGTAATTATCTGCTTTAAAACTACACAAAACAGTCAGAATAGGACTAACCAAGAATGACTTTCATGCCTGGCAATCATCTCTAAAACTAAAAGAAAATAAAGAGGACTTATACAGCAAAGTCACTGACATCTTTATCCAGAAGCATTGGAGAATAGACTTCATTTACAACTAAAATTGTTACACTGATACATGGCATTATGTATTAGTAACACTGTTTCTTTAAGATTCTAACTTTTGGGAGTCACTTCTTTAATTACCTGGCTATTTAAAGGGACACTATATGTTTATCCGAGGTACATCTACTAAATAGTGATTTGATTCTATGTGTGGAGTGTTCCTTTAAAGCATAGTAATTTTTGTGGCTACAAACGATCACCATCATCAAAAAGAATCCTTCAAATAACTTGAATATCTGCAGAACAACACAGGATTCCTGTGAAGAACAACCTCTGTATTATCTGTAGAATAAATTGAATGCTGATCATTCAAAGTCTCTTGATCTCTTAAATATCTTACTCTAATGAGATCAAAACTGAAATATAACGACAATTCAGAATAGAAGACAGAATAAAGGCTATAATAGCTCTCTCTGCAGATGTTGTCATTTGTCTTTGTGCTTCATATCGCCTTCAATATTTCATTTTCTGGCCAATCTATATCCGTTTACTGTTTGGCTACCAAATGGCTCACTATTTCGACCCCAATTGGTTTGGTTTTCTTTATTATATCCTTACATAATAATACATAAAGCATAATACAGCACTATAAAAAATGCAATATTATAGCTTCCAAAAATAAATTGAAATACTAGACATATCAAAGATTTTCAGAATCTGGATTAATAAGTGAATTTATATGGAGTTATTTTCTTAAGTTCTTAAGAGAAAAACATAAATTAAAAAAAAAAAGATATGCCCCCCAATTTGTTTGTTCATAACTAATATTTTGATTTATATACATATAGGATATCATAAGAAAGCCCTCCCTATCTGTCCTTTTAAAAATGTATATATTCTGTATGGGTGAACTGAAAGGGAACATGCTAAGTTACAGGGGTACAAACACATAGCAAAAACGCCCAAAAGGCCTGTCAAAAAATGACAGCATTTGGGAAAAAGCTCAGTCATGAAGGGATTGAAGAGCAACAAAACTGTAGTTTGAGTTGTTACTACATTTCTAAAAAATTGCGATTTATACGTTATATTTAATGAAAATGTAAATAAAAAAATGTAAAAATCAGATTAATGGTCCTCCATGTAAGGAAATAGACTGAAGAGGGTTTTATCCAGCTGTGACTACAGCTGTCTTGGAGACTGTGGCGGAACTAATACAGTGAGGGCCCTGGTGCAAAGAAGTTTTTTGCCATATACACACCTTGACACACAGATGCACATACACAGACACACATACAATCCAACATAAACATAAAAGTTATATTTTTTATATTTGCAGCCACCCTTCTATCACACCTTTTATGTCCAGGAAGGTGGTTTGCTTGCTGCTTCGTGATGCTGCTGGCTGAGATTAATGGGAGTGTGAGGTCTGAAGCAGCTTTCCCTTCTTACTCCTCTCCTCCCCATTCTTCAAGTGCTGCCTCCACCCTCCTGCGCACTTCTCTGTGTGAAGCTGGGAGGAAGTGAGGGGCTCTCACTTCCTCCCAGCCGGCAGATTTACAGGGGCCCGGTCAAGCTCTTAAAGGGCAGCGACACTCTACCGAGCCTTTTTTCTAAAATAATATCCATTAAGTGGCTCTAAGTGCATTTGCCCCACCCACAGACTGGCTGTGCCCACGGTAGTTCCACTACTGGTTGGAGACCCAGGACTGAGCCCCAACGGGGATGAAGATTTTATAGAGAGAAACTGTATTTAAATGCCAGTTGACATACAATTCTATCCCTGATATGTGACATGCATATTTGTCGAGCTCTGTAGTCCGTCAGCATTTTACTGGATCCATGTTCTCATGCACAAGGGTCTTAGAATCCAGACTACAAGCATGGGCATAATATGCATTTTTTTTCATTAAACCAATTTAATTACAGTTAAATACTCTTTAGCACTACACCCAGGAGTATTGCTGTGAAAGTGGCTTTTGTAGTATGTTATCTTCATCCATATTAGTAGTAACAAATGGGAGAAATGACCAAATTAATATAAAAGCAACAAGAATGCTGGATGTAGGTGAACCGTAGACTTGATTCGTCCTAATAGAATTCCTCTTGATCCTTGAACGATTTGGTCACGAATGATTATACCTGCTGTTTTACTGCTCGAGATACAGGGTAGATCGATTCAGAAATGACTTGTTTCGGTATCAAGTAACAGGAATTTTATTTGAACGAATGGATACATTTTTGCGCATCTAAACAAAAGGGAGCACTAAGGTATTCTGGGTCATTTTCTAACTTAGTATCCTTCGTTTTATTTGATGGCTATTCTATTAATGCATTCTGATGGTAGTAATGCAAATAAAGTTGATGTGGGTCTGGAAGCATACGGAGAGATCTG